TGTTGTAGAGTGAAAAAAGCAGAACAAATTGCTTAGAGAGTGGCAACCATGATAAGGTTACTGTAAGACGTTGGACAAGGACAAAGATAGGTGTAGTTATATCCTTTAAGGAGGTCTGATGGTGTATGACTTCTTATGAAGTACTAATTACTAAAAGTTTCCTTCTATTTAGTGGAATATGTGTGTTACAGAGAATGTTTGAATAGTTCAAGCAAGGTGACACAACTATTCTAAGGTTAAAGTGTACATCTGTCAACTGTCATGAGAGGCGCTAAGCTTAGTATCACATGAGCTTATGAGAAGATGAGCTGAGTGTCAAAGATATGACAGGATGAACGAGTGAGAATAAGTTATCGTAAAGCTCTAAGACTATGTCTTTTTGGCTTTAATCCAAGTGGGGAACTCTATCATTGATAACTAGATCGCATGAGCATCTGTTGTTACGGTCCCTAGACTAGGGTTAGAGATAGAGTACTGGAAGTGGAAGGGTTTTTGATATTTAATATATATATGGATAAAAATAAATTTTATATATATATATATATATATATATATATATATATTCTTAACGGGTTAACGGATTATCCGTTAAGAAAATTGAATAATCCGCCCCCAAACCGATAAGCCGTTAATAAAAAAATTTTAATGCATTCCCCGTCCGTTAACCCGATACCAATAAGCCATTAAGCTTCAATTTCGGTTCGGTGTTCGGTTTCGGTTCGATTTTGAACACCCCAAATAGGAAGGCTAGAACGATGGAATCCAAGGACAGAGCTCGACTTATAGAATAATGCAGGAAATATGGTTATTGAAACTCTTACCATTACGACTTATAGATAACATATACAACTCCTAATACTTTATATGTATTGGCATGAGAGGATTTAAATGGAATAGTGCGATCAATATGGATTCATATAGCGGATCCCCTCCCCTCCTGTTTGGGACTGAGGCTTAGTGGTGTACCATTACTGCATATGGATAGCATTATGCTGACAAATATTTATCTGGGGATTTTTTCCTTAAGTCATGACATGAGTCCTTTTATATCTTAGAGGGAAATATTGCTTACTGTATTGTGACAGAAGAAAAGTAAATTCTGAGCAAAACAAACTGAACATTCTATCCAAGAAAGAAAAGCTGTACAAGTTTCATTCATCTTTCCTCACTTCTTAATTTGGAGACTTGACACTCTTTTCCTTTTTTCTATAAAGTAATTTGGTGACTGACATTTCAGAATCAGAAGCTGCATAAACTATAAAGTCTGGATTGCTTAAAGAATCTATACAAATGATTTAAACCTCAGCTTACATGTCTAGCACACAATCTGTTCCCCCTTGGACATATAACAGATTATCACTTGGCAGCATATCTTCCCATAAATAGTTCACAACTTCTACCTTCATCCCCGGAAAGACTTCCTCACAGCACATACTGTCGAGCGTCATACCATGATAAAAATACAGTTGAGATACACGAGAAGTAGAAGCGTGATGCATCCTTGGACCAATTACCAGTATTGCTTTGCAACCGTAGGTTCAGTGGAAGTTCTCTATAGTCTGCTTTACAATATTTCAAGTGATCCAAGTTTTGCTGCAGTACTTATCTAGTCTTCCTCTGTGTAGCCTTCACAGACAAAGTGAAATCAGGTAATACTACCTCTTTGAGACTCTTCAGATACCTGAGCATGAACTTACACTACGTTAGGCACGGCTAAAAGCTGAAAAGGAGAGGACAGGTTTCCCTGTTTAAGTGAAAAAAGTAATCATCTGCAAATCAATTTCATCAGCTTTTTCAACCATTGCTATGCCTAACAAATAAGATTATCACCTCATTTCCAGTCTTACCAAAATATAACAAGGGAAAGACTACAACTTCCATAGGTGAAGATGAAAATTAAACCAGCAAGTTTTTCCTCCTTTTTCCAAGTGCCTCCTAATTCTTGTTTGCCTTTTTTCTTATACTTCAGCAAAAGGGTTAAGACAAGATACTTGAACTCAATATGATCGCACATCTTTAAGCTTTCTCATATCAGGCCTTCGACCTAGAGTAAGAAATTGTTTGAACAGACAAGATTCAGTTATTAACAAGGAAATTTCTTTTTTCTTTTTTCTTTTTTCTTTTTTTTATCTATTTTGATTGATGAAAGGACTTTAAAAGATGGGCACCAACAAGGTGGTTCAAGTTACATCATGATTTTGCAAACATCATAAAGGATCTTTTGGTGTGTGTGTGTTTGCGGGGTGGGGGTAGCAAAATTGGTTGGTACCAAAGGAAAAAGCAAATTGTGGAAGGTCCTCAACCATTACATCACTTATTTTAGCATAAGAAGAGTTGCCTAACACAAGGAAATTTCAGTTTTGGATCAAGATCAGACAAGCCCCAAAACTTCAGGTATTCATCAGTCACTACGAAATGAAGAATTCAGTGTAAAACCTACTAAACTGCTGACCTGACATGGCCAATGGCCTTGGAAGAGAATCTGGAGGAACAGGGCTACATATTAAGGGGCTTGCTTCTGTCGGGTGGTGTCTTATGAGGCAGCCCTGACTTGGTGAATATCAAAGGAGGGGAATCTTACCTCCGTGGAATGGTGGCTTAAAATAGCAATCATCTGTTCCTACACTGCAAAATGGCCTCAAAACTGTTGGTATCTCTTCCTCAATATATTTGGAGTAAGATGAGCAAATGCCTAAAACAGAAGTAGCAGCTGCATAGCTGGACAAGGAAAGGAATAGGAAAGACGGAAGCCAGATTTGGGACGCTATCTCACCCTATTTATAGTGGATCATTTGGAAAGAGAAGAAAATTGAGATTTTCCGAGAGGATATTCCTAGCTTAAAAATAAAATGTCTTTTTTCCGGATTTTTGGTGTAAGATGCAGATTCTAAATGGGTAGAGACAGCTCATTAGATTTTCGCAGCCCCCCAGCTGAAAAATAGGGAGCTGAGATTTTTGCTGCAATCTCCTCTGTGAATATCCAGCACTCAGTAATAGTGCTTTTGTGTGAATAAAATAAGCTTACCTACAAAAAAGGTTATCTGGTATTCATGCTTCTATAAGGTCCAAATAAGACGATGCAGCACCAGCACACCTTGAGTATCGCCAAATTAAACTATTAAAATTTACCAAACAAAAAACAAAGTTCCAGTTGTTCACTTATTGATCAACATTTACCAGACAGCTTGAAGCCTTGAACTTATCGGTTCGATTTCAAGATTTTAGAAGACCCAAGTTCATATCCAAATCAGATAAAACCATTCAATGAAATTATGAATCAGCAGAAAATCCTGTTTCTCTTTTGATTTTCCCCCAACCCCACCCTCTCTTTTATGAGTGCACAGGTGACAATCTTAGAAAGATGAACTAGAATTCATACCTTTGAGGGACTCAAGCGGACGAAGCGAAAGCAGTTCATGGACCCCAACCATTAAAGCTGTCAACCTAAGAGATATAGAAATGAATGGTCATAGTGAATCCAAATCTCATCGGTACCTAACTCAATTCACTGTAAAAACAAGTTAGCAAGTTCAGTTTACCTTGCAGACAGCAGAGACATGTGACAAGAATGAAACCCAGGGGACAATATATCTCTTCAAGAAATTAAAACAGGCATGCGAGAGGGTATCCTTGTTCATTGCGGCAATGAAGTACCAAGAGCGAAACTGTTTCCTCTGAATGATCCACTTACAAGAATATCATAGGTTGCATCATCGGGCTTAAGACCTTTGTCAAGCATCTCATCATGCAACCTAAATGCCTCTTGCAAATTTCCCTCCTTGAAGTATCCAGCAATTAGTGTATTATAAATCAGAACATTAGGAGTCGTACTCTTCTTACACATCTCCTCTAAGACCTTGTGCGCATTCTCAACCTGACCTTTATTGCAAAGACCGTGTACAAGAACAGTATATGTGATGTCATCAGGCATTATACCCTTTCCAAGCATCTCAGTGAACAAATCGGACGCCATAACTATTTTTCCGTCCTTTAAAAGCCCATCAATCAATGTGGTGTATGTTTCCAAATCACACGTAACGCCTTCATTGATCATCTTATCACGCAAGACTAGTGCTGCTTCCATATTATTTACATTTCTAAACCCACTTATCATGCTGTTATACACAAATAGGTTAGGAGATAGACCAACTTGGCGGATTTCATCAAAAAGTTCAGAAGCACTTTTCATGTCTCTTCTTTTGCAAAAGCCATCTATAAGGACAGCATACGCAATAACATCTAACTTAATTTCTCTATTTCTCACCTCATTCAGCATTTTTAAAGCTAGATCAATGTTATTGCTTTTGCAGAACCCATCAATTAAAGTTGTGTAAGTTACAACATCTGGGGAAATCCCACTATCGCACAACTCTCTGTAAACAGCCAATGCTGAGGTGACATCATCTTCCTTCAAAAATCCATCTATTAGGCTATTGTAAGACATGCATGTTGGAAGGAAACCTCCTGCAACAATCTTTTTAAGCAAATCTTTTGCCTCTGACATTTTGCCGGCTTTAGACAGACCACTTATTATGGTATTGAATGTGTAGTCAGTAGGGGCAATTCCTGAAGAGACCATTTGATCAAACATGTTCCCCGCTTTATCAGTGTCACCTTTTCTAAAATATCCGTCAATCAAAATGCTATATGTTACAACATTAGCTTTCAACAGCCTTTCTGGCAACTTAGAGAACAAATCCAATGCTTTGTCCATATTCCCATTTCTGCAATTTCCAAGAATCATATTGTTGAAAGAGGCTATAGAAGGTACGACTCCACTATCGACCATCTTATCCCACACATTTTGAGCGTCATCCATTTGACCCTTCTTACAAAACCAGGCTATTATACTATTGTAAGCGAAAACATTGGCCGTACCCGAATTTATTGCCTCATCAAACACATTCAATGCTTCATCTAACAAATTAACACTTAAAAATCCCTTTATTAAAGAATTCTCAACATAAACATTAGGCTTGATTCCAGCAAGTTTCATTTGCCGGTAAATTTCTACTGCTTTTTCAATATTCCCATTTTTACAGCAGCCTTCTATTAAAACTGCATATGTCACCTTGTTTGGAGTGAGTCCATACTCGGCCAGTTTGTCAAACAAATCCAAAGCATTTGATAAATTGCCCTGCACATGATACCCTTTCATCAAACTTGTTGCAACCACCAAGTTCATCGGATGCCCATTACTAAGCATTTCATCCTTGAGCCTTAACGCCTCAACCATATTCCTTTGCTTCACGCAAGTGGAAAGTATGTTCACATAAGTGCCCTCGGAAGGAACCCAACCCCTGTCTTTCATCTCCCCCAACAACTCCAACGCGAAACTTAGATTCTGCTCCTTACAAGCGACATAAACACAAAGGCTATACAATCCCGCGTCAAGCTTAATCCCACTCATCTTAGCATCCTTAAAAAGCTTTACCGCCTCCTCCATTTTCCCTTCTCTCAGACAAGCAGACATCAAAATATGCACAGTACGACAATCATAACAGATCCCTCTAGACACTACATCAGTATACAAATCTCGCACTACTCCAATCATGTCCTGCCTCACCAATGCCTTCAAAAGCTTGTTCATAATCGGGATCCACGGCATTATATCAAGTTCAACCATCCGATTGAAACAATCAATTGCATCAGTCAGTCGATTAACTTTCACACAGCTATTTATCAAGAAATTGAAAACTCGAGGATTTAACTCGAAATCAAAAGCCTTACAAGAATTAACTAAACCATTAAAAATAACAGTAGCAGAGGGACCAGAGTCACTAAAAGCATAATTATCAAGCAAGCGTTGAGCTTTATGTTGATGCATTGTAGAACTTACTAATATGTGAAGCAAAACAAAGAAAGGGTCAGATTTAGTATGCAAAAAACCCCTTTGTTGTCTAGCAGTTTGGAAATACCTATAAGCTGAATCAGGGTCATCTCTGTGGCTCAAAAGCACATCAACAACATGATTCTTGGTAAACCCACCATCTTCTGAAATGGGTTTGTCACAAGAATGGTCAATGTCATGTAAAGGTACAAGCTTTTCAGAATCTTGAGGGTTTAAGATGGGTTTTTCAAGAGAATCTGAATGGGAAAGTTCAGAAATTTGTGGGTGTTGATTTGTTATTGAGGATGAGATTGAAGAAGTGCAAAGATGGCGTCTGCAAAAGAGGATTAGCCATGGAGGAATCTGTGAGGAAGAAGAAGGGAGAACTAAAGTTTTCATTTTTTTGCTAGTTTTTTTGTCAGCTAAAGCACACTAACCCTAAACCCCAGAGCAGCAATTGCTGTCTTTTTCATTCATCCCAGAAAACAAAGAATTCGGGTTATTGACTCATTGGCTAATGTTTTGATAGAATTTTCTTTTGAGCCCTCAAGTTTAGACTCAATCACCTATTCGTCCTCAAACATGAAACATTTCATTGGCATTTTTAGTTGGTTCTATTCCATTGTAATTGATCTCAAAATCAATAAGAATTCTCTCTTCCTACTTTTCTCTGCAATACTCTTCTTCTTTTATTATTTTATTACGCATTATCAGCACGAGACTCTAACCAATTGAGTAGATTTTGGGATTGAGCATAATGATTGTCAATTGTTCCATGAACTTCCTTCATAATTAAATTCTCGATTTAAGGTATGTATTTTACCGTATATTACTCTTTTATTCTATAATTTGATTTTAAATACAAGGAAAGAAAATAAATTTTGATTATAACTCTAATGGAGTTAGTAAGAAATTATAATCACTCGAAGTTGTAAAATTTCTATGTCTTGCCGTGATCAAAGTCATGTATGATCGTGAGCACAATAAGTGGGAATTCGTCCCATTGAATTTGCTTCATTCTCATTCCCTTAAGAGAATGTGGTATCAATATGTGATAAGTCTGAAAGAAGACAAAATTATTACCGTGAAGGTATCAATGGATGAGGACATGGTAATAGACGAAATTATAATAGTCACCATTGTGATAATGAGAATAATAAGGATTCTCAAAATAATCCTTCACTCTGTGAAAGTAATGTTTGTCATCGATTTGACATGAAATGATTATGGTCCATTCATGATGTGAATGTGACAGCATCTCATTTATGAATACATATTCATTCTTGGAAGAATATGAACGTGCTAGTGGTAGTGAATATACCACACTCACCTCTAGAAGGAGGTTTGAGATGATATAAGAAAATAATGTCATTATTATGGCATGAATGGTCATCAGTCACGTACCTATTGCACACCAAAATATTTTGGTAATGTGATTATTAAGGAATAACATTAATGCAAGAAACATATCTTGCATATAATTTTGACCATAACTATAATGGTATAACTTTCTCCGTAAAAGTTTATTCACCATATGGATGTTGATGAATATATGATAGTACAAAATTAATTGAGAGCTCTGGAAGAGCCAATTATTACTACTTTGGAGGAATAAAATTGATTATCAATAAGGCATTATCTTGTAGTATGTCTCAAAGAAACTTATTTAGTTTCTAAAGTATTCGCGAAAGCGATTGATTATATTAAGACTATAAATAAAGGAAAGATTTAATATCTTCTATTACTACAACTTGTAGCGAGGCAATATGTATGTGAAAAGCTACTCGCTTTATTCTCCAGTTTGTACTAGACAAGCAAAAGAATGCCACAATAAAGTAGAAGTTTATTGATATAAAAACTTGGAGTTTATTGATAATTGCACGCGTCATGGTGTAAACCTGAAGTTTATCAATATTGATAATTTATTCAGTTGGCACAATTGGTTTAGCCATGTTAATTTAAGTATGGTGTGCAAAAATAATAGAGAATTCACATGGGTAAATATTAACGAACTAGAAAGTTCTTTACGAATTCTCTTATATTGCTTGTTCTCATTAATTAATTGACCAACTAAAATTGGGATTGAATCCCATGAATGCTGGAAATATTGATAACTAGGGATTATGATGCATTTTACACTCCTTCTTGCTTAAGTTTTGATTAGAAATGTGTACAAAATAGTCCCAAAGGCTCACAAGTTGTGCTTGATTGCATGTTTGATCATCAAGGTGACAAAGTGTCAAAAACTAGCTTAAAAAGGAGTGAAACTTGTACAAGTACCAAGACAAGACAAAGCTCAGTCAAACAGGGCCAGTGCGGCCGCACACCATTCTGTGCGGTCCGCAAGGATGAAGTTCAGAGACTGTCTTTCAGGCCATCAGGCAATGCGACCGCACTTGATTTCGTGCGGTCCGCAGATCCAAGGTTCAGAGAGATGGCAAATTGAAGAATTATGCCCAATGCGGTCTGCGATCTATTTTGTGCGGACCGAAATAGAAGCCACCGCAGCCGCGGTGCATTTTGTGCGGTCCGCGGTGGCTAAGCTTCAGAGAGCAGAAAAGTCAAGCCAAGACCCTTAGTGCAGCCGCACTCGATTTTGTGCGGTCCGCACTAGCCCCGCATGGGTATTTTTGTCTAGAATTTCAGCCTAGTATAAATAGTTTCTTTTCCCATTTTTAGGTAATCAATAGTTTTGGATGTAGAGCTGCGCTCGTGACCTCGTCTCTTTTACTATTTTGAGTAATTTTAGCTTAATTTCACCATTGAATCTTCAAGTTTTATTTAGCAATTAATTATTATGAGCTTGTCTTCATCTATTTCTTTATTTTTCTCTTTAATCATGAGTAGCTAGACCCATCAGCTAGGGTTGTGGCTCAACCCTAGTTTGCATAATTGATGGGTCTTATGTTTTAAGGTTTGATTGTCCATGGGTGTTTGATAGTTGGACTAATTTATGGTTTTATTGTTAAATTAGTGGTTGCAAACACTAGTTTATGCTTTGTTGATTTTGGCTCTTCTTGAGAAAGAGAGCCTAAGTCTCTAGAATTAGTCCAACAAGGAATTGGGGCGTACTCAAGAGCATTGATAGCCCCAATTAAAGGGTTAAACCGAGAGATCGTAATACCCGACTTGAACCTTAATTGCTTGCATAAATGTTCGTACCCAATTGATCTTGAGAAAGTCAATTAGGGCAAAATCACTCGAACTGCCGAGAGGCATAGAGTGGGTAGAATTGTGCAATGGTTATATCGTAATCCCCAAGTATGACAAACTAGCCTTAGACATAAGAACCCGTTAATTATCCACCTAGGTGAAGGTCACTTCCCTAGTGCCTTTTATCTCATTAGAACATCTTCAATAGCTTCCTCTTAGCATAACGTAGCTCAATTTAGCCTATTGGTAGTATAAATTTAGAAGTTAATCAAAAACTCAAAAATATTTAGAAGTGCAATTAGGATCAATTACACAACTCTAACTTAGATAGAAACTCAATTCCAGCTTCTAGCTCTCTGTGGATATCGATCTCGACCTTATCGGGTAAAAGCTGCTTTGACCTCTCTTGCTACTCTTTAGTAGTACAGGGTTGGCCTCGATCAAATATCAAAGGTGAATATGGGCGCATTCACCTGGTATACTACATAAGATGCATCTATGAGATGGTTACATGTGCGATTATTATTAACACGCAACATGGTGTTTGTGAGTTAACTTGCTCAATAATTTAAAGCATAATTTCTAGATTTTCTATTCAAGACAATTCATCTTGATAAGTTGGTTTACATCACAGTTGATTTAGCAAAATAATTTATTGAGTGCCTCCACTTAATAGCTAAATTGTTGCTAATGATAACAAAGTTATCTATATCAGTTTGATATACGTTATATACGAAAGTATATTACATTCTCCCCTCACAACCGGTTCAGGTCCAGGAACCAAATAATTCCATCTTATTATTATTGATGTGCGGTGTATATTTTGATTAACACCATAACGCACAAAGATGAGTTCCTAAAGTTGAGGAAGCAAGTTAGTTTTTCTAACATGAGAGGGAGAGATGACAAACATTTGAGAAAAAGTTACGCGGAATGAATTATCATTTTTACATCTAGATCCTCGAATAAAATAATATGAACTTGAAGTTCATAAAAAGGATAATTCATTTGCAATATGTCGCAAAGCATGCCAGACGCATTTGCTGACCGAAAGAAAGTAAGTATATTCTCATTGCAAATGCTCCTGTTAAATCCTAGAAGGACAAAGTCTATGGTACGCTTAAAGCATATAGACAAATTGGTTTCAAATAAACTTCTCGATAAAGAAGATGAGCAAATGATCAAAATGATCATAATAAAGGAGACAAGTGATCTAGAAGATCACATGACATAATACTTCATAAAATCTCAAGAGAGGTTTAGGTACCAGAAAATGAATGAAGAGATCTCTATGTTATGTCTATATGAAAATAAGGAGGTTGGAACCGATATAAAATGTTCGTCGACGACATCTATGATAGCGCTAAATATATATGAGGATCTTAAGTTTGAAGAAACAATTCAAGTAGAATTGGTTTCATATGAAAGACATATAGTTTGGACATATAGTACAAACACTTGAAAGTATAAAGTCAATGATGTGTGCAATCACCTTTATCTATCTTATATGTCTAGCATGACATAAAAACTTGATGTGCATCTAAAGTACATTCATATGACTTATATGATTTGACTTATATGACAATCCATGAAGAATTTAAATTGCATAAAGCATATAAAATTCTTGGTCATGAAGTACTACATCCTAAGTACAATTTGTACACATGTGTATCTTGCTATAACTATAAGCATGATAATACGATAGTAAGAGTCTTTACCCCTATGTGAAGATATTGAAATGATTATTCTAACAAGATCACATGAAGACAATACATCTATGAGGGATGATGATTTCAAGGTGAAACAAATTCGTTGAAGTTAATATGGCTGATTTGTTTATCAAATATCTACCAACGATCTTTTGAAGATGGTGCAAGATATTGGAATGCAAAGGCTCGAGGATGTGAATTGATGCTCTCATCAGGGGGAGTTAATGCGCGTTGCACTCTTTTTTCCTTATATGGTTTTATTCCACTGGGTTTTTCTTACAAGGTTTTTAACGAGTCAACCAAAAGGCGTATTGTTAGATATGTGTACTCTTTTTCCTTCTCTAGAATTTTTCCCCCATTGGGTTTTATTTTAGTTAAGGTTTTAACGAGGCACATTATCTGCTGGATAGACATTCAAGGGGGAGTGTTATAAATAGTAATTTATTTATAGTGAATGCCCTATATTTTAAAGAGATTTTAGGGTTTGTTACTTGGTGGCTAAGTCACTTTTTTCCTATAAATAGAGGGGTTCTATTCCATTTTAATTGATCGCAAAATCAATAAGAATTCTCTCTCCCTACTTTTTTCTGCAATACTCTTCTTCTTCTTTTATTATTTTATTACATTCT